TATAAGTGACTATATACCATGCCTGTCTTTCTGGTTCTGAATTACCTCACTCAGGATGATCTTTTCTAGTTTCATCCATTTGCCTGCAAGTTTCATTATTTCTTTGTCTTTAATAGCTGAGTAGTATTCCATTGTGTAAATATACCACAATTTCTGTATTCATTCCTCCATTGAGGGACATCTAGGCTGTTTCCAGATTCTGGATATTATTAATAAAGCTGCTATGAACATGGTTGAACAAATGTCCTTGTTGAATGGTTGAGCATCTTTTGGGTATATGCCCAGGAGTGCTATAGCTGGATCTTGAGGTAGTGCTATTCCCAAATTTCTGAGAGAGCACCAGATTGATTTCCAAAGTGGTTGTACAAGTTTGAGCTACCACCAGCAATGCAGGAGGGTCCTCCTTTCTCCACATCCTCTCCAGCATGTGTTATCCCTTGAGTTTTTTATCTTAGCCATTCTGATCAGTGTAAGATGGAATCTCAGAGTCATTTTGATTTGCATTTCCCTGATGAGTAAGGATGTTGAACATTTCTTTAAGTGTTTCTCCACCTCTGTTGAGAATTCTCTGCTTAGCTCTTAACCCCATTTTTTTTAATTGGATGATTTAGTTTGTTGCTATCTAATTTCTTGAGTTCTTTGTATATTCTGGATATCAGCCCTCTATCGGATATAGGGTTGGTGAATATCTTTTGGCCTTCAGTCTTAAATATAAATTTCGTATATCATTTCTCTTTTGTTACAGGAGATATAAACATGTCAAGTTTACAGAGATGGTTCTGAACTCCAAGAATCAACATCAAGTTTCATTGAAAACAGATTCAGTCAGTAGGCAATTAGAATCCTCAAGACAATAGCAAGGATTTGAGCTAAGGCATGTATTTATTCTCCCATGACTTCCGTACACTTGGAAAGTCCTATATAAATACACACACACATTATATGCGATCATCACACACCATCTACATCTTATAACCTTCAGGAACACAGCTTTCCCCAAAACCTGGGTTATAAAGTCCTACAACTGAGAGAGATAGGTTCAAGGTACAATGAATTTAAGTCTGTACACACATGCATGCCAGGACCATTATTATGTTGTTATTCTGGGGCTAGTACTCAGGACTCTGTGCATGCTGGGTAAGTGCTCTCACACTGAGCTATACCAAGCTATAGGCCTCCTTCTTGAAGTAAAATGAAGGAAAAGGCTTAAACAGAATGGGACAAATGGAGTTCTAATGAAAGAGAGACTCTCTATCCAGTGATCTCTCATAACTGGGACTTTTCCATAAGCGAGTTTGTTGTGATGACATGAGCTGTCCTGCCTACCCTGTCTCAGGCTTTGATACTTGGTGCTATGCCATTTCTTTGGGTCCTCAAATTGCAAAGCAAGAATAGTGGCTTTGGAACCCACTTTGGACTGTGTTTTGGTTGCTGAGGCTTTGGGTTAATGTTTGTTTATCATGCCAATGGTTGAACCTTGAGCAAACATTGACAAGTGAGCTACCTCCCAGCTCCTATGCTACAATCTTACGTGTGTACTCTCATTTAAACTTAGCATGGTGATGTAAGGTATGAAGATGGAGGAAATGAAAGCCATGAAATATAAAGACCCACACATAAGACCCCACAGATGGCAAGAAGTTAGAGATAAGCTAACCCAGGAAGCTCCTGCATCTTGGTGGCTTTCGTCTCCTGAAGGCCAGATGCCCCTTGTGCACCGATATCCTTGAAGCTATGTGTAGGGTTCCTGCTCCATTGGAAACTCAGCTGCCAGGGCACTTGCCACATATATGCAACAAAGACCCTAGATCATCCTGATCTCCCTCAAAAGATCCTGGCTTAATTATAGCATTTGCTTGCATTGCAGTTCTGACATCCCTTCTCACCCCCATGGGTTTGTCTAAAGCAGTGATTCTCAACCTGTGAGTTGTGACCCCTCGGGGGGTTGAACAACCCTTTTACAAGGGTCGCATATTAGATCTCCCGCATACCAGATATTTACATTATGACTCACAACAGCAAAATCACAGTTAGGAGGCAGCAATGAAATAACTTTATGGTTGGGGTCACCACAACATGAGGAACCATATTAAAGGGTTTCGACATTAGGAAGATTGAGAACCACTGGTCTAGAGGACCACGGGAAGAAATACCCTAAAAGGGACATCAGTACACCATGATTTGGGAGGGTACATAAATACCATTGACTCTCACAAATAGCCATCACAATGTCTCTAAATTCACAGTGCAGAGCTAACTGAGCTGCTGTCTGCTTGGAGGCATGATGCTCCACTCTCTTTGAAGTGTTTGGCTTTTCTTTTCTTTCTTTTTTTTTAAATAAATCCTTTGCGCAGCAGATTTCCTTTTCTTTTTCTTTTTTTTTCTTTTAAGATTTGTTTATTATTTATACAGTGTTTTGTCAGTTGCATGCCAGAAGAGGGCACCAGATGTCATTATAGATGGTTGTGTGCTACCATGTGGTTGCTGGGAATTGAACTCAGGACCTTTGGAAGAGCAGCCAGTGCTCTTAACCTCTGAGCCATCTCTCCAGCCCTATTTGGCTTTTCTTAACACACATCTGCTTAAACTGTCTGCATTTTCTGACTGAATTCTTTCCTTCAAGAAGATAAGAACTGAGAGACCCCTGTAACAGCAATCAGCCACCATGGCTGTCCTCAAGCCAGTGATCACACATTCTCAACCACTAAACATGGTGTGCATATTTAAATGATTGGCAGCCATCAGGGAGGCCAAAAGAAAAGTGACAAGGGCTATCTCCATGCATTATCTTTCAGGGACTTCTCATTCTTTCAGTCCTGTGTCCATTCTTGTCTGTTGTAATAAAATCTGTCCATTTTGATCCACGGGGAAATGTTCAGTTTGAACGGCACTGATAAAATATTTCTTCTTGTAAATTTTTTTTAGACACCAATATTGTAGATGGTACTTACTGGTATTTATTTGATCCCAATCTGGGTATCCAGTCCAACTAGGGTCATACAGTTGGCTAGGGTCATCTGGGAAGAGGGACCCTCAAATGAAGAATTGGTTGAGATTGGCATTTTCTTTATTGATGATTGAGTTCCTCATGTTGCGGTGACCCCTAACCATAAAAGCATTTCATTGCTACTTTGTAACTGGAATTTTGCTACTGTTATGAAGTGTAATGAAAATATCTGATTGTCAGGTGATCCCAGGTTGTATAAGAAAGCAAGCTGAGCAGTACAGGGACAAGGCAGTAAGCAGCATTCCTGCCTCCAGGTTCCTGCCTGAGGTCCTGCCCTGACTTTCCTCAGGGTTGGAATCTGACCTGAGTGTTTTAAGCTGAAATAAACCCATTCTTCACCAAATTGCTTTTGGTCATGGTGTTTTATCACAGCAATAAAAAGCTAACTAAGACCACTACCCATCACCAAGTGCTGACTGCAATAGAAAGACTTTCAAACTTGATTCTATATTGGCTTCTCATTTATAGCCATCCTTTGTCTTATGCCTGTCTAGTTGACATTCTCTCTCCCATGGAGGTGGAGTACATTCAAAGTCTCAGTAACTATTGCCTAACTGAAAAGGTCCTGGAAAGTTTTTTCTGCTCTTTTTTGAATCATTTTACCATCACAAGTAAACGAAATTGGTTTCCATTCTCTCCTGGTGGGGAGGGGAACGTTTCTTTTTCATAACACCAGCGGCTTTGTCCAGTGTATTAATTTCATTTCTGTTGCTGTGATAAAATATCCTAACTAGAAGCAACCCAGAGAAGGGAAGAAAGGGCTTATTTGGCTCACAATTCCAGATGGTTGGAATAGAGGATGCAGAGCTTAGTGATTTGGAGGACCCACTGTATTGTTTCCAGACAACTCCAGCAACAAACAGTCCTTGGAAGGTGAGCTTGCATTTTTATATGGGGGCTGTGGGTGGACTTGAGCAAAAAGGCAGGCATATTCCTCCTGGTTTGCTTCCACTGAGAAAAGTGGCAAGCGTGGACGTGCTTGGCTGTGCGGACGCTCCTGTGGTTTTATCAGTACCGCTCACATTCCGCTTTGTTTGATAAGGAATCCATGTTTGGAAGCTCAAGATTATCCTGGAAGCTCCCATGAGCTTTGCAGCGACCTCAGTGGATTGTTAAACCCGCCTCGAGGCCAGCAGCCCTCATCCAGCACCTTCTCAGTTTCTGCTCAAGTTAGAAGACTCTCCTGAGATCTCAACCCCAAGCCCTTGGAGGTAACTTTGGCAGTGTTCTTGTACAGATGACGGCAGCTGGTAACATTAGCAGCGTTGCCTGTCAGCTCCTTTGCCTAGGGCAGTTGCTTCTCTGAGAATTATTTGTGTTTGCTGTGTTCATCCATGGCAACCATGCAACACAGCTATCCTGTGCCCCTCCCAACACCAACAGTTGCTTAGTCTCCTTTTCACGGTTCTATTTTGGGAGTGATGTGGACTCTTGACCATGCTGGCTCGAGTTCTTCCCCGACCAAGTCACCAACGATGCTTTGTAAAACAGTCTTCTGTTTGGGTCTCAACTTTAAGAGGGAAAAAAAAGTCAATTCTTCTCATTTGCTCCAAGGGCATTATCATCTATGTTTTAATTTTAAAGGATTGCAAACAGACAATGCCTTCTTCCTGGTTTGAGGAATCTAAATGTCTAATTTTTTTTCATAGAAGGGGTGTGGATAGATAGCTCAGTGCGTAAAAGTGCTTATTTCATAAGCTCGCCAACCCAGGTTCAATTGCTGGAGCCCATAAGGAGAAGAAATGACCCCTGAAAGTTGTCCTCTGACCTAGCACATGCCCCGGCATGTGTAAACTACACTTACATGAGTACAAAGCAGAGTTAAACAAAACCAAGCAAGAAGCAAATGCATAAACAAGGTCACAAAACATTGACTATAGCTAAATAACAACTATATTTAGCGTGTATGTATGATACATGAACAATAAATAAAAATCAGTTGAAATTATACTATCAATGAAGATTCTCCAAAATGAAATTAAAGAGACTATTTTGCCCCTCTGGCGATGGGCAGAGAGACAGCTTGTTGGTGATGGTCTTATATCAGCCAGGGGCAGAGCAGATGGCAGTCCTTTGATCATCCTAGCCTGATGCCTGGCTCAGTGGCCAAAGCTGTTTTATGCCTAGGATTCATGAAAATCAAATCAAATCCAGGCATTGCAGCACGGGAGGAGGAAGACAGAGACCTGACACCAACCATGCCGCCCACAGACCTGCCCTCCAGTGCACGGCACAGGTGGACCATAGCGCTACAACATGCAGTGTGGATGGAGGCTGTCACCCAAGGGCCCAGCAGCCACATGGCCAGCCTGCAGCGGGAGCCACCATGATGTGCAAAAATGTGGTGGCCAGATGAGAGAGAAAAAGGAGTGGAGCAGCTTGAGCATTATGAGGAGAGATGGAGCTGGAGACTCAAGGGTGAAGAGGGGTAGCCTGTTGTGAGTGGCCAGCCCTGCCTCCTGGGGCCATAGTAAGGTTCTGTCATGAGCTGCTGCTGAGGGCCATATCTGAGTCTGTGACTACTCCTCGGCAGGCATTGGTGTCACTGTCCACGGCTCATGTTACCATTAGAGAACTTGGGGACATCCCTGGTTGGGGCAGCCACTGGGACCCTGTGAAGGTCGAGGAGCTGTTCAGAACTGGCCCTGCCCCTTACTGGCTGAGAGGTGCTCTGGACAGCTGATCCTA